CTAAGCCCATAACTATAATTGTATGTACTTGAATTGATAGTAGCAATGTCCTTTTGGGTTGCCTTCAAACCTGATAATTGAATAGGATAACTGTTAGAGAAAGAAGAATGATTTATTAATTTATTACTTGGTTAATAAATTAATTTGAAATCAAGATAAATGATTTATTAATGTATTATGGATATAATATATTAATTAGAAATCATATTGTTTAATTAATATTTAATCAGAAATTAATATGGAATTAATTTTGGGATTAAAGGAATTAATTCAAACTGTAGGGACTAAAGGTGAAAATGTTCAAAAGTTTAGCATTGAGAATTCTAGAACCTCCCTTAGAGGTGGGGAACGAAATCTAGAGTATCCTAGGGTTTCCTTGGGCTTTAAGGGTGCCTTGGAAGCCTTAGGGAGGAAGTTAAGGGATTAGGGTTATCTAAGATACATCTGCCTTATCCTAAACCTTCCTTATCACCTATATAAACCCCTATAGGGTTGGATTTCGTCCCATGCACTCCAAGAAAGGCTTAGAGCCGAATTTTCCACTTCTCTTCTCTCTCCATAGTAATCCTTGGTTGCTAGGTTTGTTTGTGAGCCATTAGAGGCGCGACACTTGTGGCGCTTGCTACCAAAGTTCAAGATCTTCAAGGATTTGTTTGTTATTACAATATAACAATAAAGGTATGTATCCTAACTCTAATTATATGTTAATTTCGAAAATTACATGTGCCTCCTAGGGTTTCTAGTTTTTGTGTTCAATGCTTGTATGTCTAATAGTGAAAACATAGATCCTCAAATTAGGGTTGCATGCACACATATGATCGTTTGCTATGTATAAAACACATCACAACCATCGGGTTGGAATGCCCTCATACTCGAGTCCAATCATCATCAGGATGGAATACTCACGGCCCACAACCATCGGGTTGGATTGCCTAGGTCTGTTGGCTCTCGCACAAAGCAGATAAGCCTCAACCACCAATCAAACATGTGCACATATATCAGATAATCACATAACAATTTATAGACAATCAAACCGATCTAACCGATCATACTAGCATAACACCATCCTATCTATCAGGATACTGATCCAACAGATCGTAGCAACATAATACCATCCTATCTACCATGATACTAATCTAACAGCTCATACTAGCATAACATATCAGGATAACAATCCAAAAGGGTCGGCCTTGGTGCCTTAGACCCTTGAGTATAGTGAGGAAACTCACCTCACAAATGTCGAACTGTAGTGATAATGCAAGACTCTCGAATCACAACCACGAACTCAACTACCTATCACCACCATAGGACCAACTCCATCAAAATCCCAATTACCAACATACCCTCAAAGTCCAATTGGTCAATCCCTTGGTCAAAATCAACGGTCCATGTTGATCCGACTCGTCGAGTGCAACTAGCAATTCGTCGAGTTCCTTAAGAACTCAGGAAGTCATGAAACCCTAATTAACTCGCCGAGTTTCCAACCAACTCGTCAAGTCCATGCGTGTCCAGAAGTCGGAAAAAACCCTTACTGACTCGTCAAGTCCCCCTACTGACTCGCGGAGTCCATACATAACCCAACCACGATAAACCTTCATCGGACTCACCGAGTCGTGTATCGACTCGCCAAGTTCATGGAGTCCATTTCTTGTCCAGATGATTTTGAGCTACTCCAACGCTCTAATTGGTAGATCTAGCCTCCTAGGGCCTAGTTATCACGTAAAGTTGCAAACTTTACATGCATGCAAGGTATTAAGAGCCAAAACTAAGCTAAAGAAGAAGCTTAAGGCAAAGAGAAGGCCATAGCTTGACAAAGACTGAAACTCTATGACAATAAGGGGCTAAAGGAGTCCAGATTTCAAGTTGCAACCTCAGATCTTGCCCCAAATCCGGAAATACCACAACAATTCACTAAAAATGGTTCTAAACCAATGAATGAAGAGATCTAGCTAATGGAGAGCCAAGGTAACGACTTGTTACCTTCAATGTGATGCTAAGATGGAGTAGAGTTCAGATATACAACTTCTCCGTGTTCCAAACTTCTTGAACTTCAAGCTCTTCTCACCAAGATCCACATTTCAAGCTTGAAAACACACAAATATGGAGAGTAAACACGATTTAGGGTTTCTGAGCTCAAGGGGGGCTGTAAGGGAGGCTAATGACCCTTTAAATAGGGTGCAAAACCCTGGAATTTAGGGTTTCATCCTCCAGCTCCAACTCGCCGAGTTGTATCCTCCAACTCGTCGAGTTGGTCACTTAAAACACACGGCCAAATTCGTCCCTACTCGACGAGTCAGGGCATCCAACTCGTCGAGTAGACCTTTCAAAATGGAAATAAAGCTGTAAAGTTTATACCTGAGAGTCGGGGTGTTACAGAGACTCGCTACTGCCAAAAACACAACTAAATATATATTATGATTTATTTATTCGTTTAAAATATTTGTAACGTCCCAAAAATAGCGAGTAATTTTTTTTTATTTTTAATAAGTCGAAACCATTCATTCAGTATTCCAAAAGACAATTAGAGTCAAAGTATTCTCAAAATATCAGAGTAAAAACATAAACAGTTAAAGCAAAATAATTTTCCAGGGGATGCAGTGCGACCAAGCCTGCCATTCCTTTTGAAAGCAGAAGTACTTAATTGAAAACATTTTAAACATACACCGTAAGCACAAAGCTTAGTGAGTTCCCCAAGATACCGCATACCATACATATACGTCAGCTCAAGGCTGTATTGGGTCTATTTCACCCCGAGTCTATTTCAACTCAAATGTCAGCTCAAGGTTGTACCGAGTCTATTTCACCCTCGAGTCTATTTCAACTCAATCGGTATTTCTCAATCGTACAGGTCTATTTCACCCCCGAGTCTATTTCACCCCACATACATATAGCAACAATCATACATGCATACCACAAGAGTCACAAAGACAACAAACACATATAACCTTAGTGTCCTACAGTACAGTGAGCAAACCCATATGAATTACTCAACAGAAGCCCATCAGCTACCTCAACATCATAACAACCAACCCAAAATTCCTAAAACCAAATCGAGACTAATCCTTAGTCAAATTCTCAATTCTACCCAAGTTTGACCAAAAGTCAAAATGGTCAAAAAGTCAACGGTCAGCTTAGTCAAAGTCAACGTCACGTCGTGACCATTCCCTGGTCACGTCGTGAGAATGCAACAACAAAACAATCGCGATTTTGGACACCATCACGTCATAGCACATCCTATGCCATGTCGTTACTTCTGATAATAATGCCAAAATCTTCATTAAGTGCTTAATCTCTTCGGACCAAGGCCCATAACCTCATATCTAGTTCCTAAATAGCTTCATAATGGATAAAGTTTTCAACTTTAACCATTAGGATGATCCAGACAACCAAGATCCAATATTTAAGTCTCAAAGGGACCAAAAATGCATCTTTATCAGTTAAATCCATTAAGTTCACGTCTCTAACCTTCAGATCTGAATCAATATGATGTTTAGATGGATAAAGTTTCCAACTTTATCCATAATAATGTCTCAAACTTTCAAGATCTAAACTTTAATACACAAAAATGACCTAAATGACCAAATTAACTTGCATGGCTGAAAGGGAAGGCAAAGTTGTTGATATGAGTTTTTAGACCGGATATATATATATATATATATATATATATATATATATATATATATATATATATATTTAAATTCTATAGGGTTTTGAATAATTATGGTATTGAGTTATACAGTCTCCAAACCATTTATATTTTTATAATACCTGTATTCTTATAATTATTATATAGTATTTCAAAAACTATATTAAAGTATTCTATGTGATATTATAAATATAAATTTTGTTATATAATTAATATTTATTTTGAAAATAATAGTTACTGAAATTGCTTTTAATATTATTATTATTTTAATTATTTATCATTAAATTCAAATATTATATTTGTTATGGTGATGATTATATTTATATAACATTTGTTAAAAATTAAACTCGTTATTGTTATTAAAAAATGAAATTATTAAAAAATCAAAGTCATATTTTGGATACCATTGTGATTGTGTTATTAGTAATAAAAGTTATGTGGGGTAAGTTTTAACCTATTAATATCATAAATACGATACCTGATACTCACAACTCATATGTAGGGTTGTAAATCAACCAAACGAGAGGTTGTTTATGTTCGTCCGTTTAAGTTAACCGAACAAATAAACAAACACGAATAAATAAACGAATGAGTTTTCTTGTTCATGTTCGTTCGTTTAACAAATTACATTGTTCATGTTCGTTCGTTTATGTTCGTTAAAATGTTAAACAAAGATAAACAAACATATATGAATATATAATATAGTAATGTAATCAAACACAATTGAAAAGAAAAAGAATTTAAAAATGAATGAACATAATTGAACGAACGAGACCATTGTTTGTGTTCGTTCATTTAACTAAACGAACGAGATTTTGTGTTAATGTTTGTTCATTTATTAAATAAACGAACTTTTCGTCGAACGGTTCACGAACAGTTCGCTGAACTTTCGATGCTTTTATAGTTTTACCCGTAGGTATACACACAAACCCAATGGATTTGCTAATTGGGTATCATATGGTCATCGAACTATGCTTTTATAGTTTTACCCGTAGTTTTACCCGTAGGTATACACACAAACCAAATTTTAAATACAATTTTGTAATCGGGTATAAAACTATGATCATCAATGTCCCTCTCGTTATCATTTCTATTTATGATGCCCTCTATCAAGTCTTCAAAAGACAATGATTTCTCTATAATTTTTCTATAAGACGACAAAAGGCTTAACTATTAAAATAGTTCCAACTATGTCTTAAGGCAAAAGAAAAAGAACTAGTACAAAATGATGTAACAAACAATAAAACTCATTAATGTCTACATCAAACGAAATAAAATTCAAAATCTTTCGGTTCTTTTATATAATTTATCTTTTTGTAGTCATATTATGTATGTTTTTTAATAGATTAAAAAAAGTGTTTTTGACAACATCATAGTGAGAAAGAAGTCGAATTTTTTTAGGATATGAGTGAGGACTTGATCGTTTGACTTGGATGAACAACAAAAACCTCAAAAATCCCAATTTTAGTCTGCCCCCAAAAAGGCGATTCCAAATTAAACGAAGATAGAGTGAGACTGCTTGCAAATACGTGTATCAGCCTATAGCTTAATCAAGAAATCACAATCAGAAACTGTTTCGTTAAATTAGGAGATTCTTCCAAGATGTTCTTCAGGTATATGATCTACCCTTTAATCTAGTACTGTTTTCTTATCGACGTATTTGAATTACGACAGTTCCAGATCTGGGTTTTTAGAATCGAGGAGGTTCTTGATTGGATCTTCTAGGTTCCTAACTTGCATTCCTGTATCCTACTCGTTTATCAAACTAACTGTTTCGATTCTCAAATTCACGGGCACCTATTGCACAAATTAACCACTGGAAGTATCAAAGTTTGGGTATTTATGAACTTTTTCATCTATGTGATTCTGAATTTGTGTGTATTCAATTCGTAATCCCGATAATAGTTATGTCAACTGTTTGGGTTGCTTGGTAATGGGTTGAAGTCAGCTCGATTCAAACCGATGTTTGAAGGCGTCTGCTAAACGATTGCATTAAAAAAAAACTTTTTTTTACATTGAACATTCAAAATTTCTTGCATCTAGAATACATTACAGCATATACTATCAATGGATTCTATGTTTAATTTCTTTTGATTTATTCTATTTTGAAGGTTCCAAGCTCATTAAAATGAAGGTGGTATTCTGAGAATCAGTTCTTCCCATACAGATTCATTCTACTTTGATCTTACACCTTTGAAAATGAGTTACCCCCATACAAATTCCTTCCAGTTTTCATGGTATTCTCAAATCAAGATTTGCCACCATTAATTTTAACTTTCCAGAAAGGTCTAAACATACAGTTTCTACAATGGAGCAATCAAAAAGCGACAACCATCTTCAATACAATTCCATTCAATCCGAGAGTAATGATTCTCTACCTAGATCATCTTCAGTTAAACCCGTGTTGAATTATTCCATCAGAACAGGTGAAGAATTTGCCCTAGAATTCATGCGGGACCGTGTAAACCCCAGAATGCCCTTCGTCCAATTTCCCACAGGTGACCCTGGTCACACAACAAACTACCTGGAACTCAAGGGCCTTTTAGGAATTAGCCATACGGGATCCGAAGGTGGGTCCGAAATCCCCATGCTGAATACTATAGAAAGAACCGCAAAGGATCTTGACAACAACAGTACACGAGGAGCTATTCATGATTATGCTTCTTCTTCTAGTGCTTCAGATAATTCATCAAAAATCAAGATTTTATGTAGTTTTGGTGGAAAAATATTACCACGTCCAAGTGATGGAAAGCTTAGATATGTTGGAGGAAATACGCGAATTATCCGTATAAAAAGAGATATTTTTTGGCAAGAATTACGCCAAAAAGTGATGGAAATTTATATAGAAACTTATGCGATAAAATATCAGCTTCCTGGTGAAGATCTTGATGCTTTAGTTTCTGTTTCTTCTGATGAAGATTTACAGAATATGATGGAGGAATGTAGTGTGTTAGGTATAGGTGAAGGGTCACAAAAGCTTAGATTGTTTCTATTCTCTTTGAGTGACTTGGATGATTCCAATTCCATCCATTCTAATTCCGGAGGGGATTCCGAATTCCAGTTTGTAGTTGCTGTAAACGGAATGGACATGGGGGGTTCAAGAAAGGAATCGAGCATGCATGGTTTAATGAGATCTTCTGCTAATAATCTAAACGAGCTTGATACACAAAATGTCGATGTTCCATCTTCGATTCCCGTGTTCCCTTCCACAGGAGATAAATCCCCTGTAGAAACTCCAGCATCGGTCCCACTCCAACAAAATATAAAATCTCCTAGAGACGACTTGGAGGGAAAGTTACCTCCAAAATCTAAAACAAATGAGGAAAAACACCATGAACAAGTACACGTGTCCTCAAAAGCTGTTACACCTAATGAAAACGATTCGTGTGCAACTAACAGTGTTGTGGGTCCCGATAACTCCGGGTCTGATCTTATTGATTTGAGTTACCTTGAGCCCCCGCCACCTGTCGTGCCACCTGTCGCACCCCCACGTGTTTATCATTCCGAGAGGATCCCACGTGGGCCCACGGAGTTTAATCGGTTGACCAAGTCAGATGATTCACTCGGTTCTCAATTCCTTGTTTCTCAATTACAATCCGATGTTGACACATCGGAATCCATTGAAGATCCACCTTCTCAAAATGAAGAAAATCAGGTTCAGAATCAGAATGATGGTAGTGCTGCCGCCAGTGGTGGTCATGGTCAGGCTCAGGCGGCTAGTGGTGTCACCACCACCGGTGCTCCGGCGGCTAGTGGTGGTTCCCGGGCGGAGCATGGGGACATTCTGATTGATATAAACGACAGGTTTCCGCGTGATTTTTTATCTGATGTGTTTGCAAGGGCAATGGCGGAAGATTCACCTGGAATGGGTGTATTACCACAAGATGGAACAAATTTGAGCATGAACATTGCAAATCATGAACCTAAAAACTGGTCCTTTTTCCAGAAATTAGCAGGTGATGAATTCAGAAACAAGGATGATCATGTTTCTCTTATCGATCAAGATCATCTTGTGTTTTTATCTGGACTTCACAATATTAAAGAAGAAGCTTCTGTGGTTCATAAAGATGATCACACTTCCATTGAAGATGAAGAAAAGTCAACAACATCTTTGCAACCGAGTTACAATCCTTCACAGATGGAAGCCAATGAGGGGATACAGTTTGAGGATTTAACAGAAAACATGAGAGTTCCAGATTCAGAGTATGAGGTAGTTTTTTTTTATTTTGTTATTGACTTATTGTTCGTGTAGGTTTGAGTAGTCGACTTTTCTAGAATGTTTCTTCATTGCTCAATTTTATTAACACAGGTTGAAACAAGAAATGAAGCACTACCTTCTATCGATCTTTCTCTGGGTGATCTTGATATCAGTTCTTTACAGGTATGTTGAATTAATGATGCAATATCAAAAAGCTTTAAGGTCATCAAAGATTAATGTAGTTTTGAACTTTTTTATATGGTTCTTGTTGCAGATTATAAGAAATGAAGATCTTGAAGAATTAAGGGAGCTTGGATCTGGTACTTTTGGTACAGTGTACCATGGAAAATGGAGAGGGACAGATGTCGCGATCAAGCGCATCAAGAAAAGCTGTTTTGCAGGGAGATCATCTGAACAAGAAAGACTGGTTAGCATCATATATATAATATATACATCTTGTCAATTCATTCTGTGTGATAAATGAGGGTAAATTTGTCATCTTTTGTTTTTGTTTCTTTTTATTGTAGACAATAGAGTTTTGGAGGGAAGCTGATATTCTGTCAAAGCTTCATCATCCAAATGTAATGGCATTTTATGGTGTAGTACAAGATGGACCTGATGGAACTTTAGCTACTGTAACAGAATTCATGGTTGATGGTTCATTAAGACATGTTTTACTTCGCAAAGATAGGTAGAATTTTGCAAAATATCATAAATGCATCTTTTGGTTCTAATTTTAGTATATCTTTTGTAATAACTTATCTGGTTTTATGTAATTTTTTAGGCATCTTGATCACCGAAAAAGGCTTATAATTGCAATGGATGCAGCATTTGGAATGGAATATCTACACTCAAAGAACATTGTTCATTTCGATTTAAAATGTGACAATTTGTTGGTGAACATGAAAGATTCTTCTCGCCCTATATGCAAGGTTATGACAGGAAATATTATGTTTTTTAACCCTTCATATACTTACCCTTTGTTTTTCCTCTCACGTTAAGATTGATAGATATTGTGATTTGGAAGGTAAGGGTAAAATGGTCATTTAGTCTCGTTCAGACGGTTTATTCAGTGTAGAAAAGTAAAACAGACCGAATGTATACAACACCTTATCCAAACATACATCATTACCCATTAAGGACTTAATAGGAAGAAGAAAATAAAGAGAAAACTCCTGTTAAAGTATTTAATGAAGTTTTAATTGGATTATTATTATGCAGGTAGGTGACTTTGGACTTTCAAAAATCAAACGCAACACTTTGGTTTCAGGTGGAGTCAGAGGAACACTCCCATGGATGGCTCCAGAGCTACTAAATGGTGGCAGCAATAAAGTTTCTGAGAAGGTTTAAATCTAAATAGTAAATACATTTTCATTCAATGTGTTTTGTTTTTTTAAAATATTTTATTTTATAAAAATGTAACAGGTTGATGTTTTCTCATTTGGGATTGTGTTATGGGAGATTCTTACTCGCGAAGAGCCATATGCAAATATGCATTATGGTCAAATCATAGGTAGGCTTTGACCTTGACCTTTTTGAGGGGTTTTCTTACGAAATTATTTTATATTTCTAAGTTTATTATATAATAATATTATAGGTGGTATTGTGAACAACACACTTAGACCCACAATTCCAAGTGATTGTGACCCGGAGTGGAGAAGGTTGATGGAGCAATGTTGGGCCCCGGATCCTGTTGTGAGGCCGTCTTTTACAGAAATAACAAATCAATTACGGGTCATGTCTGCTGCTTGTCAGCAACAGAGTAAAGGGCATCACAAGGCGTCCTAGTAGATTGCTTTGTTGTTCAAACGCTTATATATATACAAACATGGTGTACTTTATCATGCATAAACTCATATTATTATTATTATTGTATTTGTTTCCATTTGGATATTTCATAACATACATGTCAAGTGGATATTGTACGGACGGGAGAAATGTAAAATGATGAAACAAGGACTTGTTATTTAATACTTGTTTGTGTAAATACGTGGAGCCCTTCTCATTCTCATCATCGAGTCCCCTCTAGTCTTATCATGTATAACAAACACGATCTTAATGATCATTAGTTTTGTGTATAGGCATACGTCTCAATTAGAATGTTTTAAGGCTCTTTGATTTTGTTTCGTTTCTTGTTAAATAGATGTGCATGCTTATTATTATTATTATTTTTTTTTCTTATTGTTCACATCCACATTTTCTTTGATAGACAGGATAAATCAATTGTTGTTTGATAAATTTACACTACCATCCATCTAGTAGTCTCTTTGTTGAAAACTATACAACCTATAGATGCGAAAACAATACCACCTTTCATTGGCATTTTCATTTATAATTCTGCGGTGGGTGTGTTGGGGGATGTGATAGTCACAAGGCTTGACGGAGTGGAGCTTGGCACATCCGATGTGGCCTTGGTGTACACTGTGTCACCAACTCGACATGCCGAGTTCGGTGGCCAAACTCAGTGACCAGCTGCCGAGTCCTCTCTTATTTGCGCTTTTTCCCCCTTTCTTCTCCCTCTTTTCTTATCCACTCGACACCCACTCCCTCCTATCTTCTTCCTTCCTTCTTTCCTTAGTCCGAGTCGATAAAAAGGATACACCATGACATCATTCCCCGAATCTCAAAAGAAATCCCATCCAAATTTAAAGCAATGATGTATAGCTAAGAGCTCATCCCTAATCATCATCAAATGGAATCAAGTGAGTCTGTGAGTGGTCTCTAGGGGATGTTGGTTATATCGGAGAGGTCACCTAGCTCTTTAATACGGGCAGTGGTGACTACTTAGTACTTAACAAATTTACATGTAACACTTTAAGCCCCAAAGTTATCGGCTAACCCAATATTAATAAACCACAAGTTAAAAGGTTTTCACACTCTATGCATGTGAGACACATTGGCATATAAAATCTTACGCATTCCAATCACTTTCTTTCAACAAAGATGTAGCATCCAACATAAGTATATAACTTGCATTGCCGTGTGAAGACCTCCAAGTGAACAGCATAAACAATAATTTTATAAAACTTTAAACTTGGAACTACAATAGATTTGGTGCAATTGCAGGATCTCAACTGGTTCTTAATTGTGTGTATGGCATAGGAACCATCAAAGTAATTAGATTAAGACTCCCCTTGCCTTTACTAAGCAATCAACTAATCTCTTTGACATGAAATGTAGATTAATTTGTCAATCGACTCCCCCTTTGGTATTACATACAACATTATCATATTATGATATGACATTGCATGACATGTTTTTATTCTACCTAGGTGAAAGTTGTCATTGTAAAAAAGACATAATTACCCTCATCAAAATATAGCATGCATTATGTATATGGAATGTAATAAACCGGGCCAAGAAGAAAAGGAAAGGTGGCCGGAGTGAGGCGGCACTAGGAGGAGCTTGGCTGCCAAGCCGCCGCCAGCATGATCGGCCTCCCTTTCCAACCAAGCAAAACATTCCCTTTCTGATCATTCCCCACTGTATACCCATCACCACCGCCTAAACTCTTCATCACCATAGCTTGCCGGTCTTTCATTCCGGCCACCACCTGAAACCCCGCCCTCCCCAACTGCCGCCGCCATTGATCAGCTCTCTCATGTCTCTCCACCCTTTCCGTTCCCTCATACGCCACTATATTCCTTATCTCCTCCGCAAAGTGATTCCTCTCAATCTTCATCCTCTCCATACTGTTTCTCCCCATTCTTGCTTCTAATGAATCAAATATCGCCGAATAATAATGTAACGATTCAAGAAATCGCCCGAGAAAAAACGGTCCGTTATGGTTCGCGTCTTGCTCCGCCACCGTTAGCAGCGTCGGCCCTAACTTCTTGATCGCCTGAAGTATCGTTTTCAGGGAACCTCTGCTCTCCTTCACATACGTATGCAAATGGAGTATGCTGTTTACAAACAACGATTCACCTTCTTTTATTCCTAGATTCTCTCTCGTTAGCATCGCCGGAGTGGCTGGCCCTGGAATCAGTCGGAAATGTACTTCAATTCCGACGGAATTCGCTCCGGCGACCACGGATTCCATTTCCGATTCCAACTCCGCTGTTTCTCCCCGTTCTCCTAAAATTCCGGTGATCCGGATGAGTTTTGTTGATGCTAGGGTTCTTATCAATGACGGCCACTGGAGCGTGTTCCATTCCCAAATCGATAATGTGGATTTGATCTTTCCCTTGGGCCGCTTGAACAATGGCGTCGTTTGCCACCATGAATCCGAACGAAAAGTATGGTGTCGTCTGGTGGAGGAGATGAAAAGCTTCGATCTTCTCCTCCCTCGTGACATCACCTTCTTCCCAATTGTTCGCCATTGAAATGGTACCCTTTTGAAGATGGATAAGTCTTGATTTTAACCCCATTGCAAAACAATAGGATACCCTTTGTAAGGAATCACCAAAAGGGTTAGCAGAGTACCAAATCTGGGAGAGAATTGAGTCGGCGAGTTGAGTGTCCCGGCAACCCACCGCCTCTGCACAGGCTAAGAGGAGGTGGACCAGTTGTAAACCGTCGTCGACACCATTTACGTTCACCTGATCCTGGTTGTCTACGGTGGCTGCCGGTTGTACAGACATTTCCGGCGAGGTAGCATCTTCGTATGAACTGCTCATACTCATATCGATCATCATCGGAAAATCTCCATTGTCGTCAGGGATCAAGAAAGTGTCATCAAGAACAACTTCAGGGAAGAAAGAGTTATTATATGATGAGTCTTCATTGTAGATATTTTCGATGTTGAAGAAGCTGTCGACAAATTGAAACTCTTCCATGGAATCCGCAGAAGCAGGAGCCATTTCCTGTGGATAAACTTGATCATCAAGGTGATGAAGGAGCTCCCATGACGAGTTATGATCATCTGATAGGAATTGGTGGTGTTCTTCAACACGTGCTGCCTGTGAAAACCGGCGAATTGGTAGGTGTTGATGAATATTGGTGGAAGAGAACCCAAAATGGTTGAATTCTTCCATAAAGATTGTTCTTTTTATTGAGTTTATGGTATAACAGATTTGAAATATGAACTATGAAGTGTGTGTGTTTATATATAGTTAAGATTATAAATGGATGAAAATCGGCAGGCAAGGCATCTGAAATATTTGTCAACAACCACCCAACACACCCAAACAAGGTAAGCTGGCTAAAAGGTTAAGGTTCAAGATTTTTGCTCGAAATGGTCAAATATGAATATGATGTAATCATGCAATAAAGATTCGATCTTTATACCTACTTTAATGTAAAATTGCGGTGTTGTCCTTGTCCGTTTTAGATTTGAGTTTGTACCAATTTGATGTTTTCGTTTTGTAGGCTTTGTTTTTGTAAAAATGGGTCCTACAAAATGAAAAGTCGCATAAAATGGTTCAACCAATTTAGTTTAACCAAAATCATGTAAACTTGTTGGCCGAAAGTATGTAATTTTGAGTAGCTATGTGCCTTGAGTAGCTATGAGGCCAAGGCACATCAACATATGTCGCGAAATGTATTGGTGAGACGAATTTAAAAGGATAGTTTTTACAAATGTCTAAAGTAATCTATCACTCTGGTAATCTGATATATGAATCCAAATTGACCGGGGGGATATGAAATCCCTGAATAAAAAATCCAGGATGGGAATAAAAATGGGGTATAAAAAGGGTGGCTTTGAAGAATGTGTAATATGGACGACCATACAAGACTCATGTCATAAAGCGGGGCCAAAAAAGGTTATATAAACATATATGTACATATGTAATTGAACAAAAATATTTAGATGACTAATTAATTTTAAAAGAAATAAGAAAATTATTTTTTATTTGATTATTTCATCAGATAACTAATAAAAAGAAAACTAAATTGATAGATAGTGGTAAAATAAATATTTTTTTAGATAATACTCATAGATATCAATTATCAAAACTAAAATTTTTAAAGTCTTCATTACGGTCCTCAGTGTCACAAGAAAAACTTAATGAACTGACAATGATAGCTATTGAGACCCATATGTTGAAGCGTATTGGTTATGAATAGTTGGTGTCTTACTATGTTTCCAAAAATGTTAGAAGAGCTTCACGATTCATATAACTATTTAAGATTATATATATCGTATTACCGTTCTTTTATTTTGATTGTTTTTATAACATTTATTAACTTATCATAATATTGATGGAATTTTCTTATATAAAAAAAATTCATATTTAGGGGTTCATTTTATTTTCGAAATGACTCTTAAAATCAACGGGATGTCCTTACCAAATAGATGACCTCTGAAGCCTTATCTATACTGCTAGTGAGTCTTTAGCCCATTTTTTTTTCTTGAATGTGAAAATATTAGGTCGGTTTAATCGGTTTTGAACCCATGTAGATTATAAACTTTTTTCTCTTTTTATAAAGTATTTCTTATAAATGATTAATTATATTATATATAATATAAAATGGAATAATTACAAAAATAACCTTTTATAACTTGAACACTATTTCACTTATGGTATAACATAACTATTTTTTATTTAATCTCTTACATTTACAAGATAACTAATATGAAGTTGTAAAACTAATGGTGTGTATGTGTGTATTTGGAAGAGGTGTGTGGGGTTTGCAATAAAGTCATAACTTTGGGTGAGTCGGCCAACAAGCAATGAGACATTATTAGTTGGCCTATGCTTTCTCTAAGGCAAGGCTATATAGATTGTAATAAATTATAGTTTATGGTTTTGTCTCTTTCTTCTGTTTCTAGATTATTTATTAAATAATGTAACTCCAATAATAAATGAAAGTCAAATTTTTTTTTTTTCTTATTCACAGATGAATATCCGTATCTTTAGTATTTGGGTTATCATAAAAAATCAAAACAGATGATCATATTCTCATAAATTACATGAAAATGAATAATTGATGATTATTTTGTGATATTTCACAAAAAGGTAGTCGTTTTATGTTCAAACACCCTCAATTTTGATCATTATCGTTAATTGTTATCACCTCTTAATATTTTCTAATAATAATAGTCGATGGTCACATTAATCATCATGCATAAAAATCCAACAATGCTTGTTTGAAACAATAGAAATTTTTTTGGTGATGATGAAAATGATGGTAAGTCAAATCTCAATCATGGTATGTTTGTAAAAGACCATAGTTGTTCTAATTTGTATAAAAGTACGTGTAGTTGTAAGATATACAGAAGTATTTGATTTATTTTAAAAAAAGTCATTACATTGAAATAGATTCTAACATAAATAAAGACATATAAGATTTTAATTAATGTTTAACATTAATAGTAGCAATATTTTATCCATTCTGTTACATTTTTTTGACTATTTCTAAAGCACGACTTTTATATATCAAGTATCAATATTGGGAAATCTTCTACACCTAAGCTAAACATAACAATAAATATATAATTAAAACAAGATTATATAAAATGTGAATAATTAGATTATATAAAATGTGAATAATTAGATGTCTGAGTATACATTTTCTTTGATTATCTAATTGTTTTTAATTTCCTGGCTGGATATTGGCAGGAATTGATTGAAACTTTAGCATGGGCTCAGAGCACTTTTTTCGTTGAGAATTCCTCGTTCCCTCTCGATAGACCAGCGGTTATTCCAAGTCATAATAAATTAATTTGTATTGTTTGAATGAATATATTCACAGAGCTTGATCTTGAATTGGCTTGAATGAATATTGTATTCACAATTCTTGAATAAATATACAGAGATGCATATCAATTAAGGAGTAATACATGGATAAACCAAAAATAGATTACAACATACTATGAGTATCTATAATTAAAATAATGTAAGTATTATTGCAATTTAGTCCCTGGAGATGGATGAGTCATGATACGCCCCCGCAAGATGGAGGATCCATCAGAGACTCCAATCTTGAATCGTAATGATAAAAATGGAGCCCAGGAAAGAGGTTTGATGAGTATGTCGGCAAGTTGGTCGGTTGAGTTAACATGTAGAACCTTTTAATAACCGGCAACTACCTTTTCACGTACAAAATGATAGTCTAATGCAATGTGTTTCATCCGAGAGTGATAGACAGGATTGGCACAAACGTAAGTGGCACCGGTGTTGTCACAATATAAGTGTGGTGACTGTTGAATTAATATGCATATTTCAGTCAGTAGGTTTTGGACCCAAGACAGTTCAACAACTGCATTTGCAAGTGCCTTGTACTCAGCTTCAGTGGAAGAGTGAAAAACTGATTTTTGCCTAGCCGACTTCAATGATATAATGTCTGAACCAAGATACAAGATGTATCCAGTAGTTGATCGTCCTGTAACACCACCCCAATTTGAATCAAAAAAGGCATTAAGTTCCAACGATGATTTCTGATTAAGAAATAGATCATAATACAAGGTGCCTTTTAGATAGCGTAGCAAGCGTTTTAAAGCTTGCCAATGCGTTTGTGTAACTTCGAGTTTTGGTATGTTTCTCTTTTAAACCCCCCCTCTTTATGCAAAATTTCTATCTTTTTGGTCTCTAGCTAGTACGTGGGGCGTACTCTATGAGTACGCTTAGTGTACTAGCTCATTTATGGAACGCAGAATTCACCCATGTACGCGGGGCGTACGTAGAGTACGCATGACGTACGTAATACAGGGACAAACCCTAATCTTTAGGGTTTGTGCCCTATTTAAGCAACTTATATCACACATGGAACCTCTATTGATCAGCCTCCACTCCCTTATAACCTAAGATCGAAACCCTAGCCTTTTATAGTGTGTTCTTGAGCATTGGAAGTAATTTTGTGTTGTTTGTGTGAATTGAAGAATGTGGTGCTGGGTGACCAAGCTTTGGTTGGACTTGAGGTTGTAGATCCAAAATCTTCATCAACTTTGTTAGCTCCATAAGGTATAAAGTTCTTATTTTTGAACGTCTTTGTGTTAGATTGAGATTAGGGCTTGTTTTTGAGCTTATTATGGTCTTTTGGGTTCTCCTTGGGAGTTTGAGTCCCTTCATGAGCTAGGATGCTAGATCTTAACCCCTATGATGTTCCTTGTGTAAAAAGGTGCCATATTGATGAATCTTATTAGTCCATGCATGAGTTAGAACCCTAATTATGGGTCTTAATGGACAAAATCGGGTTTTAAGGTCCCATTAAGACATGTAAGATGATAAAGTTGCCAAATTTATGCATTAATACATTGAAATGAAGTAGATCTGAGGTTTTGACGTTAAGAGCTTAAGTGGATAAGACAAAGTTGGCCAAAAGGACTTTGGCCGGTACGCAGGGCGTAATCCCCAATACGCTGCGCGTATTGGGTCAGCCACCCGCTTTCGAGTCAACAATCGTACGCCGCGTGTACGAGGGGTACGCCGAGCGTACTCAGTGCAGTGGGTTTTCTTCATTTGGGCCTTTTGGACTCGGGGTTATTTTGGGTTTTTAGTGTAACATCCCAAATATTTCAACAAATTTAACTTTTCAAAAAACAATCCATTTACTAATAGAAGTGTTTACAAAACCATTGTTTCGAAAACATTATTTAAAATCAGAGTCTCCCAAGATCCAAACAATCGTAAAACGAATGATGTGTACGGTCACGCCTTCACTTAGCCACGATCCTATAAAATACCTGAAACCATAAACTAGAAACTGTAAGCACGAAGCTTAGTGAGTTCCCATAAAGTACCAGCACACAAACATATAACATATACAATAACATGTCAGGTCCAATCAACCATCGGGTTGGAGTACCCCAGGCCTAGTCACCCTCCGGGTCCAGTCATCCTTGGGATGGAATACCCTAGGTGGAATGCCAATATACAATGGGTCCAGTCAACCATCGGGTTGGAATACCCCAGGCCCAATCAACCTCCGGGTCCAGTCAACCATCGGGTTGGAATACCCCATGTTGGAATGCCAATAGACAACAGGTCTAGTCATCCTCGGGATGGAATACCTTCGGGCCCAATCAACCATCGGGTTGGAATGCCCCCAGTCTGTTGGCTCACGCACATAGCAGTAAAGCCTCAACCACCAA